TCACACCCCTTTCCTCACTTGTGCCTGAATGGACTGATCATCCTTTGGGAACAATGCGTCCTCGTGATGCGATTTGGTCTTCGGACCCTTGACATGCTTTTGGGGCATTTTGACTTTCTTTTGGATTATCACTTGGCGTTATAAATTGTTTTTGAACTTGTTATCTCATATTCATTGTTTATTTATATTATTATCCATTCACTGAGCATTAAGCTCAGCCGAGATTTTCTTGTCCTCGGCACGTACATGACTTAGCAGGGATTTTGGGATGAGAGCTACGGAGATGACAACATTGAAGATAACCCATTAAGTCATACTTTTGTTTAAACTTTTGATGACTAATGTAGACATACTGGTATTTTGAGACACGTTATCTCCGTCTATGGTTATGTAATTATCTTCTGGTAAATTTTATTAGCTGCTCTATTTTAGATAGCGCGTTGTTTTTATCGCAATTGTCGCAACTCCCGTCTTTGACCACGCGGGACGGGGGTGTTACATAAACAAAAAATTATAAAAACTTTCAATACAATCACTGACTTCATGTTTATGTTTTAAAAGATAGACCCACACGACACGAGATAAATCATCTACAATAGTTAAGAAGAATCTATATCCGTCTCTACTCTGAATATGATAAGGACCCCATACATCTAAATGAATGAGCTCACCAAGACTTCTGGATTTATGTATACTAGCCCCAAACTTCTCCTTAGTTTGCTTTGCCTTATGGCAAATCTCACAAGGGCCACTAGTCTCATTACCTATATTAAGTCTGCTTTTTAAAACACACAAGACTTGATCAGCAGGGTGACCAAGACGACTGTGCCAAAGTTGAGAGGAAACAAAACAGATCGTACCACAATTATTAGAGGAAGAAGGAACTTTAGTGCTAGAACTTTGATCAAAGAAATATAGACCTGCATCCTGACTACCAGTCCCCACAATGTTCTTCTGCTGACAGTCCTGAACATAACACTTTGTTTCATCAAAACTTATACAAACTTTACTGTCTCTAGTGAGCTTATGGACATACAGAAGATTAACATTGAACTCAGGGACAAGGACATCAAATAGGGTCACATTATTGGACAATTTCAAGTTCCCAATTTTATCTATCTTAGCTTTAGTTCCGTTAGGATGACTAACTCTAAGATTTAAATCAGTAACATCAACAATATTTTCTAGATTTAAAGAACTAGAGGTCATGTGTTGATTGGCTCCAGAATCTATTATCCAACTAGATTCAGAAGTATTAAACATACCTGCCATATTGGCAGAAACAGGATCCGGGGTGGTGTTGGTGTTGGTTTGATTGATTAAACTCAGAATTTTGGCGACCTGTTCTTCAGAAAAACTAAAGGATGATTTTAGAGTGCCAGAGTCAGGTGCAAAAACATTTCCTGAAATAGGTCGAAGAGTGGGATTTTGAGACTAAAAGTTTTGAGGTTGATTTTGATTTTGAAATCTGGGTCGGTTTTGAAAGTCCTTTGGAAAACCTATTATTTTAAAACAACGCTCAATGGTATGTCCAGTATTGCCACAATGTTTACAAACAAGATTAGTAGGATTCCTTCCAGGTCTTTTTCTATTTTCAAAACTTTTACTTAGGAAAGCAGAGGTCTGAGTTTTAACCCGATGTTGATTTAAATTCGCTCCCCTATGAGACTCCTCTCGAGAAACTAATGAAAAAGCGGTTTTAACTCCTAATAGGCTGGTAACTATCATCTTACCCATAAGAAACTGCATGAGCTTAATAAGTTGACTATGTTCCGTAAAGTCATGCGAAACATTACATGTACATGATGGAAGTTTCACAAGCGCATCAATTTGCTTCCACAAGGAGTTTAGCTTATGATAGTATTCAGAGACAGACATATTGTTTTAAGTTAAAAAGTTAATTTTTTGGTAGAGATTAAATGTGACCGATCCACCAACCTTATCATAGGTCTCTTTAAGCTCATCCCACACTTGAACATAATCTTTTGAAAAAACTTGACCAAGAAACAAGTCCTCAGTCATGGAACTCAAAATCCACGAAAGCACAACAGAATTACAACAATCCTATTGTTTTTGGAGGGCCGGATCGTTTAAGGGACGGGTACAGGAACCATTGATGGAAACCCAATTTATTTTTAGTTTCAAGAGCTAACACCATAGCACACGACCAAACCTTATAATTCTCAGTTCCACTAAGTTTAAAAGATATAATGGAGCCTCCACTAGTGTCGCTCGAATGCAAATACAACGGGTCTCCAAAGTCTAATTTTATGACTTTGGGGTCCATTGTATTTGGCTGTCCAAAAACAACCAGAGGTGATTCCATCAAGAAAACAAACAGAAAAAACACACAAGGAACTGAAATGCTTAAAGGCCGGATTCCTAAAACACTTCAGAATGCTAGGTCAAGCCAGCAAGACAATTCTCAAAGAAAAAAAACACACAGAGAAGTACAGCCTTACCACAGAGTTTTTTAACAAGATTAATGCACAAAGTATCAAGGAAAGGTAACACCTGATGACTTTTAACTTTTGTTAAAAGAAGAGCAATTATCAGAGTATAGGTCCAGGAGGTACCTGGACAAACAACAATAGTTAAGAAAAATATAGTATCAGATCTGATAGAACACAGATCTTGGCACAGAAGATTCAGAATAACAGATATTAAACAATAAGGCCAGGCAGCTTGATCAAGGACAAGAACCACAACAAAAAAACAACGATAGATCATATAGATCTAAAAGGGGTTCAAAAAGGCGGTCAAATAAACCACACAAATGCGACCAGATCAAGATGTGGAGACAATAAAATGAACCAAAACCATACAACAATATGTATCATAACAAGATCTGGAGTTAGGACACAGATCAAGTAAACCAAAAGTAAACCACATAAATGCAACCAGATCAAGATCTGGAGACAATAGAATGAACCAGAAGCATACAACAATATGTATCATAACAAGATCTGGAGTTAGGACACAGATCAAGCAAACCAGAAATCAACAAGTACATAACAGAGAAATATAAGCAGAAAGTTAAAACATGCATCTATTTGTTATAACGGATCTGGAGATAGGACACATATCAAGAAGTTAAAAAAACAACCATCAGATCTGGATATTTGGACACAGATCTGGAACCATAAGAAGATCTGGAGTAAGGACACAAATCTTAAAAAAAAAAACAAATAGAATGCATAACAGAACACGATCTGGAGCAAGGACACAGATCGAACAATATGAAAAAATAACCAGATCACGAAAGGGGGACCTAACAAGTTATGGTCAAAACCCGATCGATCATTTTAGTGAAATAGAAGAAAGAGAGAATAGTAGAGTAAACGAATATCATGGAAGGAGTCGATTTACAGGTGCAAATAGGCACCATATAATAACAACCCGTAGCCATTCACTTATCCTATTTTCAGATCTAAACAGATAATGAAAAAGCGAAACAGAGACTTACCTTTCGCTCTGATACCATGTTAGAACTATATATATTCAAATGATTTTCATTATTAACAACTTGAAAACAGAAATACAAACTTATATAGGAAATACGAATGTAAAAGAACTGAAGATCTAATACTGTATATGAAGAATGTAACAACAGAAATTAAAACTAACACTTGTTATAGCGAGAAAGATCAGAGATAGATCTTTAAAGAGAAATAGAGAGAGAGAGCTTCTTAAAGAAGATGACTGTCGAGTGAAATGTGAAGAAATGAACTGTGTCTTGAGATCTGGGAGCTATAACATTTATATGAATTCTTAGTGTCCAGGTTTGCCCCTCGAATTGTTGTAAAACTTGCTCCGCTAGCCTTCATCTTTTCCCTTTAGTGAGGCGCAACCCTTCTAATATGCAACCAGCTCTGACTTTGAGAAATTAACAATATCTACCCAAATCTGTTAAAGAATTAACAAACAAGGATAAACAAAGCTAAGTTAGTCAAACAAATTTAGTCAAGATTGAAAACTTCACATGTATATTTCAACACCAATCGATCCTAAATTGAACCGATGAGGAGGTCATGGATGAGGCCGGATCCATTTGACCATCTAGCGCTTGGTCCAAAAACTCACCGGAGACGGTCAAAAGAAAAAAAAAAGGTAAAAATTAGTTTGTTCGCTAATAAAAATTAGATTGGTTGGTAAAAACTATTTTTTCAAGTAAAGTATTTTGGATTGAAGATTGCAGAGCTCCCGCGCATCCACCGCAGAAATGGCGTCGAATACCACCGCCGGTTCAGAAGAACGGTTGAAGCTCGCCATAGCTATGGCTCTTCTTCGTTCTAAGATCCTCAACAAACCTGACACTCCATCTGCTACCCTCAATTCCGATGCTCTTAAATGGAAACGCAAGGTACATTTTTCAAGTTTCAGCGTCTTTATCACGCACAAAAGTTTAATTGATTCTAAGTTAGTTTAGAGTTTGTCACAAGTAATTAACGCATTGTATGTGATGGAAGAGGTGAAAATTTAGCGATTCTTTTTCTAAATTTGTGCAGGCGAAAGAGCGTAAGGAAGAGATTCTTAGACTCAAACATGATCTCGACGAAGTTGAAGGTCTTTCTCTCTCTCTTTCCATGTATGCATATATGTATGCAACACATACGCATACTTAATCTGTATTTGTGTGTATGTATGTAACACATACATATAATCTCTCTCTCTCTCTCTATGTGTGTGTTCGTATTTATAAACTATGTGTTTTTGTCTACAGTTAATGTGTTTCTTATGCAGATGGACTACATCATGAATTATTCCCGGGGAGTACATCCTGCAGATGCTATTTCTTTGAAAATATGGGGAAATTGAGCCCTGATAAGATCTCCGGAGAAGGATTTGACGGGAGATTTAATGATGTGTTACGCCGTAGATTTCTTAGACAAGGTTCTCTACAAATATGTGATTGGCTTATTATATTGTATGTGTGGCTGTGTACCGGACTTTGGATTCTTTTATGAGAGATTTGGGTGATTTTTGGTGGTGCAGTGAGACTGAAGGAAAGAAGAAAAAGAAGAAGCGACGGTTCCAAACAAAGATTATTTTTACCTGGTATAGACCACTTCACATAAATTTTAATATTTTAGGACTTTTGCTAGTAAGCTTCCAGATTCCTTAAAGCCCATTTAGTTGATATTTGGTGGTTTATCATTTGGTAAAAGAAATACCCATTTCGATTTGTTTTTCCAGTTAAATGAGCAGTATTACTCATTTAGGACAACTTACTAATGTTATAATTTGGATATTTTGTGTTACCTTCATAGTTTACTAGCAAGTTCCCTTTCATTTATCTATGTAAATAACAAACCACAACATACCAAAACCAGCCAAATTGGATCCTTAATAAGCATACTTCACAGGAGAAGTGGTCTATAGAGTTCTTTTAAATGAAAGGTGGCTTTTAAATGTGGTAAGTCTGTTCTGGCTATGACAGATGCATGACAAGTATGGCTGTTTGGACATGTCAAGATAGTAGATATTGATATTGAAATTTCTTCGTATACACCTTTTGCATTGGCAGAGTATATCGCTGAAGAAACTGAACAGCTTAGGGCCTCAGTTGATTTTCTTGTGGAGCTATGTGATACTATTTCTTCTGTAAGAGTGTGTTGGCCACCTAATAAATTGCATTCTTCTGATCCTTCATTCTATATGTTAACTTTTCATGTGAGCCAAGTCTTATTTTCAACTTTTTACTCTCTACTTGCATTATTCTTGCAGCCGGATGATGCTAATTTTGCAAACTGGTCACACCAAGCTGTAGACTTCATTTTAGGTATGTCTTTCTCATTTCATTCTGAAGTATATATGTGGCCACTTGAGTCTTTTCACATTTACAAATGGGACATTCTTTTGTTACCAAATGTGTGTGTTTGTATTGTCTGTTTAGTTGTTCACTTCAACATGATATGGTGTACAATATAGTTGCTTTACCATATTGTTGTACTTCATCCATCTCCATCACTAAGAGCATCTCCAATGCTGGTAAAATTCCTCTTCTGCCGGTCATTTCTCTCCAACCTGTTGGTATTTTGGCTGGCAAAAATTTGTCTGGGAGACTGCCATATATAGGGGGAAACTATTCATCACCGGCAGAATCTTGTGTGCAGTGGATTTTTGGTGTTTTATTTTTAAGTGTGCAGTTGGAGAAGAAATGGGTTTTGGTGTGTATGGGCCCACATTTTAGTGTTTGCTGTGGGTTGGAGATGGTCTTACATTATTATGACCGAACACATAATGCTAGTGTAATTAATACTCGTAACATAGTTGGCATGTGCGCAAGCTGCAGTTGGTTGCACTGGTCTGCACATTTTCTCCTTTTCATAAATATTTTGAACACTGTTAAGAGTATAATTACATTCTGTTAGTAGTTAGTTCATTATTACACGTCAGCAAAGAAGTTAGTGGGTTAATGTATCTAGAAGCCTTGTATATATAGAAGTCATGTAAGTATACAGAGTATTCATTCAACACAATCCAATTTCACAATTTCTCTCTCTACACTTGATATCAAACACTAAAAGCATGTAAAAGGCATATGCTAGAATAAGTTAGTACTTAGAAATTGTGACATGTGGGTATTTGGGAAAGCAACAACAAGAACCATGCAACCACATGAATGTTGGATTTGTTTGCTGACACCTGTGTCTAACCCTCTGCCTCCTTCAAATTAAAACCTATATTTTATTCTTATGGTTTTTCCTTTGTCCTATTCCTGAAGATGCAATCAAGAATATCTTGTCGAAGGGAAAAAATATTGACCCCGTAGAAGGCATTGTTGGCAGCCTGTCACTGCGTTTAGTTAGAAAAATGTGCACTACATTACGAGGAAGTGGTAAGCATTTTTCTATTCTGTAATTTTAACAAATTAATATGCTTTCATATCATGCTCATTTATAGTTGCCTATCTTTGTTGATCTCTTTCTGGAGCTCGGGAACTTGTTAAAGTTTAAGCTAGTCATGGTAGTTGACCGTTTGGAAGTTAGTAGTTACAAGTTAATTATATGTTTGGCAGTTCTACAACTGTCATGTCCAGAGCAGTTGTGTTGTTTGAATGAAGGATTATATCCCTTTGTATATGTACATATATGTTGAAAAATTAAGTATAGTTTGATAGATGAAACCAATAAAGTTTGAACCTTTATAAACAAGTATAATTATTTAATCCTATAATTAAATTCTATGAACAAAAAGGTAACTTGTTATATCCGGAATCCACAACACCTAAAAATGACCAATTTCACACAGATTGAAGGAGTAGAAGCAGAGTTGTTCACTTAGTGAACAAAAATTAAATACAATGCACGAAAATTTAAAACCAACCTGATTAATCTGTCGTTGAATCGTAATCTGCAAGGTAAAACATGTCCTTAAAGGTTTTATACGACTACTCTTTTAATGCTGTGAGTCTGCTAGTTGCAAAGCCCCAGGATTTGATGTAGTAAATGTTTTTGTTTATCAACAACGATGAAAACGAAACTAAAGCAAGGTGGATGCAAAAAATGGTAGAGAGAAAGAACGAAAGGAAGCAGAGATCGCAAAGAGGAAAAACTGAATTTTCTGGTTTGTTTTAGGGTTGGCTTCAACCTAGTATTTATACTGGGTGAAACCCTAAAAGACCCACGATTTCATCCCCATTTTTCGGATGATCATGGGGTAGTTGGAGGACAATAATTATCCCCAAAAAACGTGTTTAAATTGGTTTAAAAACCGATTTTAAAATCAGTTTTTCATCTCTCTCGATGCTGTACCAAAAAGATACTTGGAGCTCGGAGCGAGGTTCCCGTGCAAAGTGCGCCTCCTCGCGCCACTTTCGGAAATCGCGCTCGTGCCCTCGGCCTCATTGGGCCTTCCACTCAAGACCCCCACCATGAGTCTACCCATTTGTTCAAAGCTCTATTGTAGTGGAAGCCTTATAAACTTCTCTAATTTTCCTTTATCTACCAATGTGGGATGGAAGACAAACTTCCAACCCACTAAAATTTCCAACAATCCCCCACCAGGTTGGAAAGTTTTCTGACATTCATAGTAGATAATGTTACTGTGGTGTCTCTAAGATTAAACCCTGTTTAATGTAAGTATGCAAGAAGAGATCAATTCAATGGTATCCTTAGGATTTAAACCTTGAATCTTGTGACCACTCCGGCTTACTTACACACATCATCTATCAACCTTGCTCTCTCACTGAGTGCAAATATGGCCATGCGCTAAACCCTGATTCATGACTTACTAGAAGAGGAACCACTACTCTTCGTTTGAGGCGGCGCCACGTCTAAGTTATATAGTCAAAGTTCTATAACATCTTCGTTGTTAAGATGCCTCTAAACTTTGTTAAGAGATTGATTCATCCTTGTTCTCGACAACGCCGTATTATCTTTCACCTTACATGGATCTATCATTTGATAGTACCTTCTATTAGTTAAGTGACTTGTTGTTACCCTTTAAACTTGGTAGATAGGAGCACTATATCCAAGTTGGGTTTCCATCACTAACTGATTCTACGTGGTTTCAAACCCATGTCTCTGGTAGTTGACCCTACCAAGTCTCTCGTCAGAGGCTTGGTCAGTGGATCCGCCAAGTTCACACAAGACTTGACAAACACAATACTTATGGTACCATCATCAATTAGTTGTCTCACGTAATTGTGTCAGAGACCTATATTTTGCGATTTCCCATTATATGTGGCATTTTATACTTTTGACAATGTGCCCTTACTGTCACAATACATGGGAATCGAAGGAGTCGATCGAGGCCATGAATGGATATGTCAACTCTAGATCCCTGGTTCTTTTAAAGTAGCCCAATACTTTCCAGTGATCTGAACCCGGATTGCTTATATATTGACTCAGTTTACTCACAATAAAAGCAATGTCCAGTCTAGTGCAAGCATTGCATGCATCATGCACCCTATTGCACTAGCATATTCTAGTTGAGCCACTGCTCTACCGGTATATTTATCGAGTTTCACACTTGAATCAAACGGAGTGTTAAAACTTTTTTATATTCAGATGTTGAAACTTGGTCAATATCTTCTCTATGTAGTGAGATTGACTTAGAGAGATTTGAGATGCTGACCTTTTGATCTTTATCCCAAGGATGATATCTACTTCTCCAAGATCTTTCATCTTAAAGTTCGAGGATAAGTACCATTTTGTCTCAAGAATACCTTTTAGATTGGTTCCGATGATCAACATATCATCAACATAAAGATAGATTACCACAGTGTACCCTCTCGTGCATTTTGAGTAGATACACTGTCGGCCCCATTATGTCGGAACGCGAAAGATGTGATAGTCGTATCAAATCTTTCGTGCCATTGTTTGGGAGCTTGTTTTAACCCGTATAGAGATTTAATAAGTTTACACACTTTATTCTCTTGTCCAGGTACTACAAACCTTCAGGTTGCTCCATATAAACCTCCTCATTTAAATAGCCATTCAAGAAGGCTGTTTTCACATCCATTTGATGAATATACAGTCTTTTTATGGTAGAAATTGCTATGAGAGTTCGAATAGAACTGATTCTAGCAACTGAAGCATAAGTGTCAAAGTAATCGACTCCCTCTTTCTATCTATACCCTTTTGCCACCAATCTAGCCTTAAAGGATGATATTGAACCATCAGGGTGCATTTTTCTTTTGAATATCCACTTGGAACCAATGGGTTTCACCCCTGCGGGCAAATCTATCAACACCCAAGTTTCGTTCTCCAAGATGGAGTCCATCTCATCATTTATTGTTTCTTTCCACAGTGGAGCATCCCTTGAAGTCATGACCTCTTTATATGTCTCAGGATTCTCTTCAGTACTGATAGAGAAAATAACCTCTTTTATCACTTTCTTTTGTGTCCCTTCTACCAAGTATGAGAAGAAATCATTTTCCAGATTTTTCTTTTTTCTCACTCTTGAGCTTCTTCGTGGTTCGTTAGCCTTATTTGAGGTTTTGGAACTATCACGAGATGAACAAGAGGGATTAGAGACCAACGTTGGTTCTGATCTTTCAGCATCTTCTGAAAATCTATCTTCAAATAGTTCCACATCCCTGGATTCTACTATTACTCCCGACTCTTTGTCCAATAATCTATAAGCCTTGCTATTTATCGCATACCGACTCTTTGTCCAATAATCTATAAGCCTTGCTATTTATCGCATATCCAATGAATATGCTCTTAACAGCACTGGCTCCCAATTTAGATCTTTTTGGATTAGGGGTTCGATAGTATGCAATACAACCCCAAACTCTAAGGTAGTTCAAGTTTGGTTTCCTTCCTCTCTAAAGCTTATATGGGCTAGTTGGAATCACACAACTAGTGATTCGGTTATGAATATGGCAAGCCGTTAGGGCTTCTCTCCAGAGATTGTTAGGCAATCCCGATTGGTTCAACATACAGTTGACCATTTCAACAAGGGTTCGGTTCTTTCGTTTGGCATGCCATTTTGTTGAGGAGTAAATGGTGAGGTCCATTCATGTTTGATACCATTCTCTTCATGGAATGTATCGAATTCTCTATTAAATTATTCACCACCTCTGTCTGATCGAAGTATTTTGATTCATTTTTCAAGTTGATTTTCGACTTCAGTTTTATAAAGTTTAAAGGCTTCAAAAGCTTCATCTTTTGAGGGTAACAAATAAACATGTAAAAACCAACTGAAGTCATCACAAAAAGTAATGAAATACCTTTTACCTCCTCGGGTAAGTATTCCATTTAATTCACAAATATCAGAATGAATCAACTCTAAAATTGATGTGCCTCGTTTCAGATGGAAAAGGTTTGTTTATAAATTTTTATTTTACACAAGTTTCACATTTTCCAAAATCTTTGTTATCAATTTTGATTAATCCTTTATTATGTATTTTTTCAATATTTCTTGCAAGACGTTTATGCCATAAGGAAATAGAACAAACAAAATAATCCAAAGAATTAACTTTATTAATAACGTGCGAATTACATCAGTTTCAATAGTGGAAACAAAAAAATTAGAAACTTCATCAGACGTTGCTAAAACATTACTTCCTACTGACTCACTAGGTCCGACCTCCTCATTACCATCCTCACTCAGATTCAAGCGATACATTATTAGCTGGTAGTATCCCTTTCCAATGAAAGTCTTCCTCTTGTATATCACAAGCTTCCTTGCCTCAATATTTATTTCAAACCCGTTTTCATCGAGTTTGCTTGTAGAGACGAGGCTCTTGTTGATAGAAGGCACGTGAAGAACATTTCGGGGAGTGAGGTCTTGCCGGAAGTGAACTTCAGTAGCACGGTACCCATTCCAACGACATCAACACGGCCGTTCTTAGCAACTATCACTTGCTTTCCATCTCGAACCGGTCCATATTCAACAAACTTGGACCTAGAGTCACAAACATGAACGGTGGCTCCAGAGTCCAAGTACCAACCTCCTCTTCCAGCCACAATCCTTGTAGAGGCCTCTGAGATCATATCCATCTCTTCCATGAGGAGATTCGCCACAAGGTGTTGAATCCCCTCAACAGAATTAGAGCAGGTGGTCCGGACTTTCTTTGCTTGCACTCATGAGCGTAATGTCCCATCTCTCCGCATACGTGACACTTTCCGACCCTTTTAAATTGCTGTCTTCGGTTCGATTGATGACCGAATCTCTTAAAACTCCTCTTTTGTGGACCCAAGTTCCACGTTTTATTTGGACCTCCGGCCCTTCCCTTACCCTTGCCTCCAGCCTGCACGCTGTTAACATTCATCAAAGACTTGCCTCTCTTATCCCGATTACATGCCTCTTCCCCGATTCGAAGATGTTTTAGTAAATCATCCAAAGAATAATCTTCGGTTTTGTGCATCATTCTTTAAGAAAAATCTT